AATATCTTGGTGACAAGTAGTCACATGAGAAAAGTAGGACACATATCTGCATATTCAATACAGTCTCAGTTTTGCTAAATATATGCAATATGCAGAAGAAATGATTAGAATGAAGTATACTAAGATATTTACTATCATTATTATTTGGTGGAGCAATTGCAGGTGGTTTTACATTCCTGTATATTTTGTACAGTTTCTAAAATTTTATATAAAAGATAAATAAAAAAAATATAAAAATTCCTTTAATTTCAAGTGATGTGAAAAATATTCAATCTGATACTCATCCATTGACTTGTTTAAATAAATTTATAATGATTCTCATTCTTTTTTTTACAAATTCAAAGATTTCACTCTTTAAGTCAATGTTTTTACAGATCTGAAAAAATCTTGGGTCATTTGAAGTGCATGTTTCTATGTGATTTTCTCCTTACAACATTCTGGAAAATTCATCAACTGGGAAGGAAAACTGTTGATGTGTTATTTGAAACTCAGCCTTTGCCCTGCTTTTCTCCTTCCCCACTAGTTAGGTAACATGAAGAGTTTTAATTGGTATAAGTATACAAAGAAATCATGGGTATATTTCATTCAAATTAAGAGCATATTCAACTTGTGTCAAAGGGAGTTAGGGAAAGTTAGATACCATCTTGGCACATAACCAAGTGTGCTGTAAAAAAACTATTGTGTGTTTCTACTGCAGCAATGCATGGCTGGTTTTACCATTTAAGTATGCTATTGTGGACAAATCTGTTATCTGTTGCAGAATATTCACTTTTTTCATGGTTGTTAGAGTAGTTCTTCAGTAAATAAAGCAAATTAAGGACAATATACATGTCAGCTTGGAAGTCAATAAAATTTTCACTTGAGCACTCCATGTTCTCCCTTCTTTAAAACCCCAACACCTTATTATTCTCTGCATTTTTCTTTTCATCAAAACTTTAATTTAGGGAGGAAATAATTCACTTTAAAGAAGGAAAGCACAACACAAAGACTTAGAAAAACATAAAAGAAAGAAATAGATGTCTATTAGTTGGAAATCATTTATTGCCTCTATAAAAGTTTAAATAAAAACCCTACAAAAATTCACAGTATAATCTGATGTGATTTTAAGGTGATAATATGCTTCAGAGGTAGTACCCATAAAATGGAATGCAGGATTGCTAAAAGGAATTACTTAGTAAATTAATGGAAAATAAAATTTCAGTGTGGAGCAATATATACTCATATACACTTTAATGGAACAATCATAATTATATTTGCATGAAAATATCACTTTATTCTCTTTACCCCTTAGCAAATCTGCTTTTAATAAAGGCTTATTTTAAGCAATGGTATGTCAACTGTAGGTTCACAAGTTAGTAGGCTCCTCCATTATAGCATTACAAAGCATAGCTTAGTGAAGGGCATGATACAGAACTGTCTGCCAAGGATAATAACAACTTCAAAGAGCAATCTACCCATCATTTAGATATAATGTCACTGATAATTCTTTAAGAAGTACAGCAATAATTTTGTATTTGTAAGCTCAGAATGAAAATCTAATACATTAATAAATAGACAATATTCCTGGTATACCACCACTGCACTGTGAAGGAAGAGCAACAGGTAAAGTTTTCAGGATTTCTCTTACAAATGACCATAAACAATCAAGCTGAGATGAGGGAACTATTCCTTGGATATGGTCTGAATGTCCTTCTTCAAAAAGGCAACAAGGTCATTTTTAGAGCCCAGAATTCTTTTAAACCCACTGCTTATGTTTTCTCTTACAAACTTACAAAACTGTTGAATATGAAAGAACATGCAAATAGACGTTTCCATCTTCTGAGAAATGGCCTCTTGGACATCCTTTGAGGTCTTGGTAGTATACAGAGCACAGGATGTGATTGGGCCACAGCCATTTCTTCATCAACAATAACAAACATTTCCATCACGTGCTTGCAGTGACAGTACAAAAGTCCTGCAGTTGATAACTGACTTTACAACAAAACATCCCCAGGTTCTATGAAGAGGCCAGTTTTCTTGTAAATTTTTCCTTGCATGTGTTAATTTTCCTATTCTCCAGGAAAATGCAATTCTTATTTTCTTGTGACTAATTTTAGCTTGGCCACAATGAGGAAAGTGCTTCCATTTGGGGTTTGTTGTTTTTAGTACACATTTTGGAAGATAAGCACTCTCAGATATACTTGGGATACTGAGGGAGAAAGATTGCAATTTTGAGGCCAGCCTGGGCTACATAATAAACCTTGTCTCAATAAAAAGGAATTACTTCTTGTTAACATTTTAGGGCTATTAATAAACGTTATCTAACTAGAAATTATAATCAATTCAAGAATTGTGCTAGGTGTGATTCCTAGAAGGAATCCTCTCTACAATTTTGGGAGAAACCATAGAGTACTCCCCGGTCCACGTTTAAAGTTCCATTCAACAGGAACTAAATAAGTTCCTTTTATCTTCGCATTTGTATTTCAGCACCAGAATTATGGGTTTTTTTTAACCATCATTGGAATTAAAACACTTCTAAAATAAAATGTGGCTGTTCTATAGCAGGAACCAAAGGAAATACTGTATCCAGTATTTGTTATTGGCAGATTGAAATCATGTGCCATAGATTTTGAAAAAGATGTCTAGATCAAGTATTAAAAAAACTATTACATGGCTGGGGATGTAGCCTAGTGGCAGAGCCTAGCATGTGCACATGCCTTGGGTTCAATCACCAGCACTATGTGAGGAGAAAAAGAAAATAGTATGAGGAAATCATATTTTTCACATATATAGATTAGGTTTGGTTTTTGAGATACTTCAAAGCAAGAAAACTGCTCTTATGAACATTTTCATGGCTGAGTTTCTTTAGGGCTTTGGCAATGTTAAAACAGACCATACTATCTAAAACATCTCTCAGAGAAACAGAAGCCAATGTGAAAAAAATCATTTTTCTATTAACTACATTTGAATGTTGGCTTTAAGCTTAGTATATCCAAACAATTTCTAAGCAGAAAATGTGTAGCTGAGAGTGCTTGCCTTCCAAAATGTGTGCCATCATCGCCAGGTGAAGCAGGTTGGGTTTTTTTGTTGTTTTTTTGAAGTCTACAGCTCCCTGAGAGATCCAATGTCTGGCACATGTCTTCCCTATGCCAACATTTCAATGAATATTTTTGATTTAATGACTAATTTCTAAGATGTGAAAAATAAAATCTTTAGCATTAAAACACGTAGGAGGAACTCATCTATACTAAAGCAGAAGAAATTTGAATTGAAAGATAAACTGAATGACTAGGAAGGAGATTCTCAGAGAGACTTAAAAGCCTGAAATTGTTTTCATATTATTTAAGAAACAATTTCTGTATTTGCTGTGTATAGTGGTGGTGTGACTTACAAATTTAATCCTAACATCTGAGGTTCTCTTACTCAGTGCTCTTTTCTCTGACCGAAATTTGATTTGTCAGCAAGGAATACTAAACATTGTTTGCAACTAGCCATATGGCTTTCAGCTAAAAGGGAGCGTACCTGACAACGGAACAATTTCTGCTAACAAAGGAACCATAGCAGTAATATCAAATCAAGCAAATACTTGACAAAATGAAGGATCATCAATAAGCTTTACTTATTTTTGTAGGGGAAGATGACATTTCAAGGTTAAAGACATTCATGAATTGGTGTCAGTGAATTCCAAATTAGAATTAGCACTAATTAATTTTTTTAAGAAAGCTGAAACTTAATGATCAAAACAGTCATCTAGTTACTTCATTAATCGTTTAGGCATAGAGAGTAATGTAATCATGCAACACAGTTCCACATTGCCAAATCACAAATATATGACACTGTGAGCTTAGGGAGAAACTAGCATTTTCCCTTCTATGGCTTTTGGTAATACCATCTGGTACTCTGGAAGGGAAGATCTGCAAAGAACTGCCTACAGTGTGTTGCCATCTGGTATCTACTAATAGAACAACTGTGTACTGTGCCCATTTTAGGTGTGTATTCATAGAATAGTATCCAGGAAATTCAGAGGACTGTGACTTACAACCGAAGTAGTAGAACTCTTTTTGGATATTATCCTTGGCTAAAGGCTCTGTACAGGCCTCACATGGAAATGAGGTAAAATTTGTGGCAAAGCTGAGTGACTAGATTAAAAAAACTCAGTGGCTTACCTTGACTTCCTGTTTCATAAAATGTAAGAACTGAAAAAACATTACAAAGATGGTGATAAATTTGAAATATTTGTCCAATATTTTGTTTAACTTAGTTATACAAATTGATTAGTACCGTGTGAATTTTACAATATTTGCAATTTGCAGCCATTAAGAAGTCCCATTAAGACTAATTGTTTACAACATTTTTTCTGTACACTTAATGATTTATTTGATTTTCTGTTGGTGAATTCCTTTCCCATAGTGTTTCCCCCTTCCTTATAAATATTTGGGTTAGATTGTAGAAGAATAGCAACAATTTACAATTACATACTAGCAATTACTTCAATTTTCAACCATTAGCTTAAGTAAAAATCTCATAGGGACTGAAAAATAAATCCCGTTTCATCCAGATTAAATATTTAAGTTTTGTTTTTAATTTTCAGTCCACTTTCCTGAGTAAAAGTGTATATGGGTGATAACAAAAGAAAAGAGGAAGAAAGAAGATGCAATGGCTACAAAAAACAAGACAAAGTAAGCATTATCAAATTTGTAAGCAATGTTGCAACTTTTTTTTTGCATCTCTGGTTAAAATTATTACTCAGATTCTTCTACAAATAAATTAAGAAAAAATCTTTCAGAAACTAGACATATTAAATTTCATAGCTGGGTTGCTCAAAATTAAATACATTTTTTTCCAGAGTTCCATCATTTTGGAAAAAAAACTCTTGAATAATGCTTTTAAATTTTACATGCATTTTTTGCATTGTAGCCATTATATCTTGTTCTTCCTTCACAGAATATGTCCGTTTCAGCAATGTGTTTTTCCATCTGAAGACTTGGGCAACAGAATGCAATTATCTTGAAATGCACACCTGTTAGGCAGCCAAAGACTACATCATATATCCCCCCTCAAATCACAAACTGTCTGATGCATTTTTCTCTGATAAAGAAGACACACTGAATGAGGTATCATCAGGCTCTGGTGAGGCATGATTGAAATCCATCTCTTCTAATTCAGGAGGTAAATCTGACAGCAGTGCCTAAATCAGAAAAATCAATTTTTTTGGATTAGTACATGGATAGTTTTCCCCAATTTTATGTTAATAGGTATAGTTCTCTCATCTTGATATATTCTTATGGATTTACAAAAAAATCAATTCTCTTTCAGGATAACTTAGCTGAAAGAAAAATTCTTCACACACTACTAAAGAAGTAACAAAATACTAGATGTTGAGAGTGTGGATTATGTATAGTAGAACCCTGTACAAACGGGAAATTAGGAAGGAAATGTATACCAAACCTGAATCAAGTGCTTTTAAGTGTTTGAGGTAAGTGATTTTCACACTAGTTTTGAGTGTTCACTGATTACTGCTAAAGGGCTTTAAAATTGCATTCTTTATTAAAATATTCATGCCTCATTATGGTATCCTTTAGACAAAACCACATTTCACAAAGGGGTATTTTATTCCTCACTGGGAGAATTAATACAGTAGTTAGGAGAGAAGTTCTGCTATTCTACTTTAGATTAAACTTTAGCAACTTGAAAAGATCAAGTGATTTAAAATCAAGTGATTTTTTTTCCTTTCCTTAGGCTATGTCCATATTTACAGATGGCCAAGTACCCACTAGGGCCAGCTAAATCACGGAATCTAGCTGTTGTAATGATGTATCTGGAAGGCTGTTCATTTCTCTGCTGAAGTAATTAGGATAAGCCAAGAATGACAAACTAAGCTTGTTCACGGTCTAATTGCTTCATCTGGACTTGCAGAACATGCATCTATGCTAGAGAAATAAATGATTAATCAAGTTTTATGTAGCTGACAGTACTGATGCCGACTTGACCATAAGAAATTGAAACTAAGTGATTGATTTGTTGCTCCCAATGCTAAAAATAATATAGTACATCTGCCAATTTTTAGACAGCATTACTTGTAGTTTGGGCTTTGAGTGCAGTGGTAAACAAGAACCAAGGGAATAGAAACAAATGAAAGCTTGCCACTACTGAATTAAGGAACAGAAGGACAAAGCATGTTGGAGAACATACGAGATCTACTGTTGAAATAAGACAGTATTTTCCTATTCTCTTTATTAAAAGAAGTGACAGCTATACAGCCTCTACTTTTTTCTCTTGTGGCAGAGGTAGTATTAAAATTTCCTCCTTTTTGAACCCTCTTACACTGTTAGTGGGAATGTAAACTAGTACAACTACTCTGGAAAAAAATTTGGAGGCTACTTAAAAAGCTAAACATTGATCTACCATTTGATCCAGCAATACCACTCTTGGGGATATACCCAAAAGACTGTGACACAGGTTACTCCAGAGGCACCTGCATACCCATGTTTATTGCAGCACTATTCACAATAGCCAAGTTATGGAAACAGCCAAGATGCCCCACTACTGACGAATGGATTAAGAAAATGTGCCCTTAATGCAGAGAAACTAAAGCAGATACCTTAAAAGCAACTGAGGCCAATAGGAAAAGGGGACCAGGAACTAGAGAAAAGGTTAGATCAAGAGAAATTAACCTAGAAGGTAACACACATGCACAGGAAATTAATGTGAGTCAACTCCCTGTATAGCTATACTTACTCAACTAGCAAAAACCCTTGTTCCTTCCTATTATTGCTTATACTCTCTCTTCAACAAAATTAGCGATAAGGGCAAAGTAGTTTCTGCTGGGTACTGAGGGGGTGGGGGGGAGAAGGAGGGGGCAGAGTGGGTGGTAAGGGAGGGGGTGGGGGCAGGGGGGAGAAATGACCCAAGCATTGTATGCACATATGAATAATAAAACAATAAAAAAATTTCCTCCTTTTTGTCAGGTTGTGTAAGGAAAGACTAACTTATATGTGGAAAAAAAGTTGTATTTATTTTATATCATTATATTGCCATGAACTGTGTAAATCCACAGCAAAGTAACTTAAAGGTACAGCATGCTTACTGGGGCGCAGTAATCACACACAGAGCCATTTTCTTCTAACCCAGTCCAGATGCAATGGAGCCTTGGCTGGCATTTGCTGATCTGTTCAGATTATGAGTAATACATCGCTGGAATCAGTTCACTACACAAGTTTGAAATACCATATACAAGAAGGAAAAAAGTGTTCAAATGAACAGTCACTGAATGTGTGCTTATAGTAATGGAAAGTCAAATGGATTAGGAGATTAAATTAAATTGAAAATTTTAGTGGAGAGACCTGAAAATCAGAGAAGCACTTTACTTCTTTGTCATTGCATTAAATGTAGTTTACTAAAATGAGTGTAGTAAAGAATATAAAAATTTTCATATATGAGGCAGTATACGGTACTACTCATGCATGAAGTCTGTCTCAAAATTCTTCTTTGAGTACCTTACTGGATTGCAATACTGGGACACTGAACAATCTTTGGATTATGTCAACTGTTGGAAATGCCTTTTTCAACACTAAAGTAGATATAATTAGCTTTCATCTCTCTCTCTCTCTCTCTCTATGTATGTGTGTGTGTGTGTGTGTGTGTGTGTGTGTGTGTGTGTGTATGCATGTATGTATCACTCCTTTCTGTTTTCTTGTGCTGGGGATCAAATTCATGGTCTCACATATGCTAGGCAGGTGCTATACTACTGAGCTACATTGCTAGACTTAATTTTCTTTATTATATGTTCTTCATCAATGACAACTATCTGTAGGATCTGACCATGTGCCATTCTTTTGAAGAGATCAATAAAACCATTCCCAAATATACAATCAGTCTGTATAACACTTCTTCTAGGATTTAAGATGTGAATTGTAAGGTCTATAATGTTAATCATTCTTATCCTTCATGCAAAGTGGAGAAATTGAAATTCAAGAAAAGCAATTGATTTGCCTAAGATCATACAGTGAATTATCATGAAGAAAAAACATAACTAATGACTTAGAGCAAAGTTGGTAACTTTTGATTGTTTTGATTTTTAAATGGCTACTGATTAAAAAAAAAAAGACTTTAGCTGGTGTGTCGGTGCATACCTGGGATACAAAGTAAGTTCTAGGTCAACCTGGGCTACATAGTGAAACCCTGCCTCAAACAGACAAACAAACAACCATCACTAATAAAAACTTTGGGTAATCTAATGTCTCAGTCTGAGAGTATCATATTTCTTCTTAAAATCCTGGACTTCTTCGTTGGGCCAAAATACTCTGCAGAGCACTTACCTAATTCAATTTATCCAAACCAAGATCAGTGGAAAACATTGAGAGTTGTTTTTTGTTTGTTTGTTTAAATAACAAACCAATAACACAATGGTTCTCTTTTATTAGGTAGAATAAACATTAAATGAACTTGTAAATATTTCATAGTGTAAAGATCAGGAGTTTAAGAGATGACCTGGACACTACTGGTGACTTCTACACACACACACACACACACACACACACACACACACACACACACATATTCTGAGACAGGGATTACAGAAATGTGCTACTGTAAACATTTTTATGTTCTCAGACAATATTGAAGGTCCATTATACTTGATCTTAAATAGAAAAATCATGAAAATTAGTAGTTTCTCTTTTGGATGCTGATTATATATACTAAGACATTCAGTACAATTTTTGTATCACTTTCTCTTTTGTCCATATCTTAGTTCACAAGTCTTTTGTAAGAGGAAAAGTGGAATAGGAGAAAAGTAAAGCACACATTCTTTACTTTTCTTATTTGCTAGTGGCTTTGGGAAAGAACCAAGTCAAGGATGAAGTTAGAATTGGAAAATAAAATGGATTCTATGTGCTGTTCTTAGATGTCAAGAGATACAGATAACTGTTGGTTTACTGGCCATATAACTGAATTCAAGCTATACTATGATTTTTGAGATCAGAAACACACTCCAAATTATTATTAAGGTTGGACCAAATTCTGTGGATTTTTTTACAGCTATTTAAAACTTACAGTACTTTTGAAACCATGTTTAAGACTACCACTCCTAGTCATTTGAAATCTGTATTTTGGGTTCCAAAAACAAACACATTTTCAACGTGTCATGGAATATGCATTAGTCATATAATGAAGAAATATGCTTAAATGAAACTGGCAAACACAACTGAAGGCTACTGTCTTGGGATGTCTGTGTATGTGCAGGGCTGAGGGAATAAAATTCACGAAAGTGGACACATAATATACATGACTAGAGTCTCATGAGTAAATTCTTCTAGTTTACATTTTGTAGTACAACATGCCAGTTAAACATACAAAGATGTTTTTTCTTTGTAAAGGGGGAGAGTTATGGGCTGTTAAGACTTTAATCTTTTCCCTGGAGATATCTTGGATGGTATATATATATATATATATATATATATATATATATATATATAGTCTTGCTTAGGTATAAAGGATCAATTAAGCAATAAATTTTATTTTTTACTTAATAAAAGCCTCCAAGACTGCTTACTAAATAATTGTTACCTATGTCTCACACTACTCATATAGAACTTCTCTGACAAGGATTCAGCATGGTGGTATATCACTCAGCAGCAAAAGTGGTAATTTAGTATTAAATGTAACATCTAATATGATTATACAATTTTCTTTCAAGTCTCATTAACCAATATACAGAATTCCATGAAAACATGAGGTAGAAAATGTAATTTGAAAGGAAATCGCAAACAAAAACAAACAAGAGACATTTCATCTTTGGAGTGGAGGACTCAAACACTTTACTTACATTGAGAAAAGTGATGCATTAGGGTCACAAAGAATTTGACAAAGTAATTTCATATTTTCTTAGTAGTGAACAACGTATCACAGAATAGACTATATCCAATCACTTGTGTACTCTAGTTGTGGCTAGCAGATACCTAAGATCCAAAAGCAAGGCAAATGCCTCACCTCTTACCTACTTAAAGGCTAGTCTGGAATTAATAAAGTATGTTAATCAGCTATTTTGATTTTCCACAATAGCAGCACAAAATATCTTAGCCCCTATGCTCAAGAAAACTGTCGTTTAAAAGATCATAAAAAACCACTTCCTGCATGCCAAGCAGAAATGAAGAATAAAAATAAAAAGATATGAAGAACCCAAGCAGGAATGAAGAATAAAAATAAAAAGATATGAAGAACCCAAGTGTGACAAGTCATGTTTCAATATGATACATTGTGGCTTACTGGTCTCTTCTGGGACCTACCTGCTGTTGTTCCTTATCATCAGCTTTCATAGCTGCAATCAAGCTTCTAACAAAAGTCTGAAGTTTAAAGTATTTTTGCTTTTGAATCTCTAGCTCATTTTCAATGAATCTCACTTCTTCATTCTGAAGGAGAAAACATTAAACTAATATGTAAATGTTGTACATGTTCAACACATGCAATCAAATTAGGGGGACAATAAATAAAACACAAGTTTAGCATAAAGGGATAAAAAGCACAGAAAGAAATTGTTACTCCAAGGCTGCCTTTTAAACAAAACACCAATAGAAAACAATTTTCAAGGTTAAAATTCCAATGAAATAAATTCCAGTAAGAGAAAAAACAAGAAACAGTTCTCTTCTTGGAAAGAACTCTCTTAAATGTAATTAGTATTTGGATTAGGATTAAGAATAGAGCTCAGTTAACCCCAAGAGCAATAACAGATTCAGTAATTGCCGAATATATCATTTAGAAAACCGAATAATGAAAACTAAAAGTTATTTTCTATCACTGAGAGACTGAAATTACTGAAACTACAAGTAATTTGCTGAACTGCCCACCATTAAGTGAAAGTCTTTTAGAAAATACCTCCTAATGTACCAACATGTACCATTGATGTGAGACTTAGTTTACTTTTACTATTTTTACTAGTTGTTCAGGAAAAGAGCATTGGACTAGGATTTAGGGGTATTCCAGTGCCTAGTCTACTGATAACTGTGCAAACTTGAGTAGGCCAATTAATTTCTCCATGACTCTGTTTACTCCTCAGGAAAATAGATATTTTACTAGTAATCTGAAATGTAATGTTATATCACTGTAGGTTATAAGGCTCAAATAAGATACTATTAGGCCCTCTGAATAGATTTATTATTAAAGCTAGAGTAATCAAGAAAGCATAGGATTAACCTAAGCGTAACCTGGTGGTGTACACCAGTATTTCCAGTTACTAAGGAGGCAAAAGTCCAAGGATTATGGTCCAAGGTTGGCAAAATTGTGAGACCCTATCTGAAAAACAGACTAAAGTAACAAAGTCTGAGAGTGTGGCTCAAGTGATAGAATGCTTACCTAACAAGTGCAAGGCCCTTAGTTCAAAACCCAGTATTGCTAATAAATAAATAAGCATAAATAATAAAGAAACATAAATAGAAAAGATTGTCAACCCTTTTATCATACACAAAATTTAATAAGATATGGATTATATAACTAAATGTAAAACCTAAAATTAAGAAACTTCATAGAAAAATAGGAGGAAATCTTTGGACTTCGGGTAAGGCAAAAAAATTCTTATATAGGATACAAAAGCATGAAAAAAAATCCATAAAAACTTCATAAAATACCATAAAAATCTTCATAAAATACTGTAAAGACAATAAAAACATAAGCTACATATTGAGATAATTGGAATTCAAATATCTTAAAAAAGAATTCAGAATTAATAAAGAACTCTCGCAATCCAATTATAAGACAAGCAAGAGACTAAAAAATAGGCAAAATATTTGAAAACACATTTCATCAAAGAAAATATATTTGAAAAAGTATTTGGTATAACATTTTCATTAAGGAAATGTACATTAAAACCACAAAGAAATACTAATACTAACATGCTACAATGGCTAAATATAGAGAATGACAATACCAAGTGTTGGTGAGACTATGGAGCAATTAAAAGTCTCATATATTGCTTGTGGGAGTGTGAAATGAAACAGATAATTTGATAACCATTTTCCCAGTTCTTATAAAATTCAACATACTCTTCTTCACTCAGTAATCCTACTCTGAAGTTTTTTACCCAAGAAAAATGAAAACACATGCCCACAACATATTTATACATGAATATTCACTGCAGCTTTATTCATAATATCCTCAAACTGGAAATAGTACAAGCTTTCATTAGCAAGTGAATAAACTAAGTATGGTGATGATTATAAAACTACTGTTCACTTGCAAAAACTCATCTAATTTTATACTAAAGAGGTGAATTTTATTGCACAGAAATAATGTAATAATGTAACTGATTAAAAATATAATAAGTACAGCCAGGCATGGTGGTATAATCTCCACTATCCAGGAAGACATGGCAGAGACTGCAAGTTCAGGTCAGCCTGGTCTACATAGGGAGGCTCTGTCTCTTATGAGAAAAATAAGGGGACTAGGAGCCTAACTCAGTGGTAGAGCACATGTTCAAGTCCCTTGGTTCAGTCCCAAGTGACTGAAACAAAAACAAAACATACAAAATATCTCAAAGAAAAAGTTAGCTGGGTATGTTGGTGCATGCCTGTTATCCCAGCATTCTGGAGGCTGAGACAAAAGGATCATGAATTTGAGGCCAGTCTAGGTTACATAGTGATAACCTGTCTCAAAACAAAACAAATTTATTCTTACATTCTAGTTGAAACTTTGTGCCCTTTGTTCATCAATCATCTCCCCATTCACTCATACCTTAGCCTCTGATAATTACCATTCTCTGTGTCTTTTGAATTATTGCTTTAGCTTATCTTTCTGAACTTGGCTTATTTCACTTAGCATAATGTTCTCCAATTCCATCCATGCTTTCACAAACGGGAAAAGAACAGTATATGTGATGAATATTGTAAATAATGTACATTTTAAAATCATTCAGAGAGTAAATTTCAAGTGCTCTTACCACAGGAAACAGGTATTTGAAGTGATAGACATGTTAATTGGCTTGATTTAATTATTCCTCATTGTATTCATAAATCATAACATTACTTTGTATCTCATAAATATATAAAGCTATAATTTTCCAATTTATAATTAAAAATAAAAATTATTTAAAAATATAAATAAGCTGAAATGAATAAATTATCAGCCAAGCTCCTTGCAAAAAACATTGAAAGTGGGCTATGAATATACTCTCTAGCTGGAAAGAGTATTAGCAGGACCTTAGCAGCAATTGCTCACAAACCCCCACACAAATACATAAAATTATTTGATTCTATGAGTAATTTTTGTCATTTCAATTGAGAAGATGCTGCAGTATCAATCACATTCAATGTACAAACATGTTTAAGTCATCATTTATTTTATCAGTTAGTTGAGTTTAGAACTTACTTTATCTGATAAAACTGTTTCCTTTTCTGATCATTTAATATTAAGTGAAACATCTGCACAAACTAAATGCCTAAATAGAGGCACTCTCCAACTATCTAAATTATAAGAAAGCATTATAATAAAATTCACCATACTCCTGCCATGATATATTATACTAGTCCTAAACTTTTGTTTTTATTAGCATTCATTGTCAGACCAGTAGTATTAGTAAATTGCTAACCAGAAAGTCTTTTCAAATACAGGAGATACCTATTTTCATAAAAAAAGTGTCTCAATTGAATGCACAATCCTTTTGAGCTACACTCACAAGTCCATCAGAAAACATTTTGAAAACATTAATTCACATTTGTAAAAGTCAGGAATCATAGTTTTGCTTGCAGAGCTCTAATTTTTCATGCAAATATTTCTTCTCAGTATTTCCAAAATGTTTCAAAAGCATAAGCAGCTTTAAGATAACTTAGTATCACAGGTAATTTCTTCTCAGAGCTTTTTTGCAAACCTATTAAATGCTTCTTAGATTACAGGGAGTAATTTATGTATTCTTTAGAAATTTTCCTAAGCAAATGGAGTACTTGTGAGAGAAACTAGAAGATGACATCAGTCACTGAATTTCACAAAACAAGATCTAGCTTATTTTTCGCTTTGTAAAGCCCTCCCTACATTCCCATAAACTTTGTCAATACTTCTTCAAGATAGTTTTTGGGAGCACATGTGGTTCCATGTAGACCAGAGATTTGATTTTTGAGCAGTCTATTAATGGTTGCCAAGTCTGAAGTGTTATTTTATGACATAGCTGTTCATGCCTCAGGTACTACGCCTATTAACTAGTCTCATTAGAATAACTCCTAGCAATATGTATTCCTTGTGATGTATCTCAATCAGAAACTCTTATGTCCAAACTGAGTATTGATGTTTGTATATTAATAATTATCAAATGAACTATAGGAAGTATTCTTTCAGTTTTCTCTAATAAATCCCAAGAATAAGAGACTAATTCAATGTGGGAAAATTTTATATGATACAGTTCCTGGTCATAAATGATTTTATATAAAGTGGGCATTTTCAAAATAGTATTAAAATTATTCCCAAAGGCAAATTACTTTATTAGACTACTCAGGAACTAGTTACTGAATTTCTATGTGCCAGTCTCTCCAACCAGTAACACACATGAAGATAAGTCTCTGCTTTTAAGATAATTATGATGAATACACTTAAGAAATCAACAGTGATTTTCATTCCCACAAAAGGAACATTAATATGCTTATATGAATACAGTACTACAATTTTCTCCAGAGATGCTAAATTTCTAAACTGGTAAAAATGTTTTAAACCAATGTCCTGAAGTCTGTAGTGACAACTGGTATATGAGGTTTAACCTACTATTACTTTAGAATTCAGGTAACAAAGTTCAAAGATGAGAAAATTAAATATTTTTAAATAATTTAAAAATATGTATTTTCTATGTAGGCCTAGATTTTTGAGAATTAAAAAAGTTTATGTAGGATGATGTGTTGTAAAGGATATCTTCCAGTTGTACCATACCTCCAGTCTGTAAAGGATATCTTAATGGGGTAGTGAGGGACCCTTAGTTCTCACTGTATTTACCACAATGGAAAACATTGGGTTACTAAAATGTCTTTTAGAGTTCAGTAAAAATGCTCATTGGCATTTTTAGAATGGACACTCTGCTCTCCCCTGCCCTGGTCTTCAGCTCCAAACCTTCTCAAGTAGGCTGCCACCACAGAGGGGAATGGTCTTGGAATGAATCTTGTGAGTCCTGGGGCCAACCCTATCTGACCTGCGTGAGAGTGGACTACACTTAACAGCGGTGCAATCCAGTCTTCTTGTCTTTACTTTCCACAGCCTGTGCCAAGTAGTGGCCTGCAGAGTCATTTTCATCTTGAACTGGGCATTCAGAAATATTATGTGACCATGTAGGAGAGATAAGCATGATCATTAGAACCAACAGTTTTATAATTCTGTGTTGGAAATAGTTTAAATACAGGATTGTATTGTGCTCTTTGACCAGTTAGCAAATAAATTTCAAAAGACAATTTCCTTCTGTGTTTACAATGTTCCATATTTTAAAGCTTGACATGTTAGGAACATTTGGAAAACAGAATTTGTTGAATGACATAAATTTCAATTATAGTAAAACTGAAAAGATTTTTGAGAAAATGACAGCTGTTGACTTTTCTGATTAAATGCTATTTTCTGTTAACATTTTAAGATTACTAGTCTCTGCTTTGAAAACTGATAATATCCCACAAAAAAGAACTTTTATGTTTGGAACCAAGTACTCTATGGCCAAAATTTCAGAAATCACCAAAGTTACTTTGCAAAATAGGATACTGATTAACAAAGGGACAGCATTTACACATCTATGCAGAAAACAATATTGACATGCAGATTGATAGCTTAGGTCAAAATTTAATAAAAACAAAATTATGTATGGCATGCTATCAAAGGAAGCCTTTCAGTTTAGCAACAAGTGACATTAAGAAAAGGTCATTTCTATTCATATTCATTCCATACTTTCTTTGGAAATTGTTTTTAAAATTCTCCTAGAACAGGTATATTTTTAAAGATGGATCATTAGAATAAGTTGCAAAACAATCTACCCTTTACCACCATTTATTTGTTTCTTCTTCTTCTTCTTCTTCTTCTTCTTCTTCTTCTTCTTCTTCTTCTTCTTCTTCATTGTTGTCATCATCTCAAGTGATGCTTCTACATCTGCCTCTTGAGTAGCGAACCTGCAGGCATGTGCTACCATGCCTGGCCCCTTTACCACCATTTAAAAATGAACATTGGCTTTAAAAAGGTTTCGCTATAAAATTAACATTAGCCACTACTATGCACTGGTCCCTCTTGCTGAACACCATCAATACTTACTCCTGTAAAGCAAACTCTTAAAACCATAGCTGCTAAACCAGCCAGCAATAATTAAAATGCCCAGCACTCTGACTGATATTCAAGTTGCCTGAGAGAATCAATGCAAAGCTCCAGAATGCTTAATCAATCAAATGGGAGTAACATAGATAGTATAAATGTCGGCCTCATTTAATTTCTTATCTTAATGAGCTTGGAATTTAAAATTACTTTTACCTTATAATCCAAGAGAGAATTAACTTGTTCTACTTCAGAATTACTTATCATGTCACTTTCTTCATCATCAATAATTTCTATTTTCTGTAACATAAGTAAAGAAGTTTTCATAAATTATCTATGTATGCATCTTGGGTCACTACACCCAATGTATATAAACATACCTATTCAATGTTTAGGTTTAGTGATGATTATCTAGTCTGCATTATCTGGAAGAAAGTGATAATTAACTGGTTCTTCATATTACACACTGTGTGTGTCTGTGTTACCTACTTCTACCTTTTACTGATGATTTCATAGAAAACAGAAAATTACTTTAAGCCTATTTAAAACAGAAAATTCCTTTTCACAGTATCCTTGAAAAAAAATATGCATTCAACTCTGTTTAAATTGCTCCCTCCTGTGATAAGAAACTCACTTCCTGTAAGGGTAATCTATTTTAATGGTAAACATATATAATTGATAGGAAGGGCTTTCTTTTCTTCCTTCACATGCCTCTTCCTTACTTCTAATATAAAATGTCAGCATATGGCATGTATTCCAAAGGCAAATGCAATTTTTAAAAATTCATATATTCACTACACTCCATTAGGTAGACAATTGAAAGCAGACGTCTATGATGTAATGTTGAAAATTACATGATGATCTGTTTTCTTCACTGGACAGTAACAAAAGGAGTTAAAAGAGGGGAGACACACAAAGAAAGAGAGAGACAGAGACAGAGAAAGATAGCTTGTTCAGTATCTTGCACACTGTAGGTAATAATTATCTGTCAAAAGAATGAAGAAAACAGCTTAGAGTTGATGAAAAGAATGACCACTAAGTTCCAACCATGAAGGTAAGGCAAGTTCTGTAAGCATATAACCCTTTTTAAAAAGCAAAAACAAAAGACAATAAAATCACCTCTAAAGTTTTCTTTTGGAAAAAAGTATACTTAAGGAAAAAAAAAGAAAACCTTTATACATTTAAACCCTGCCAACTCCAAAGAAATTTTAAAAAAGTAAAAGCTAAGCTAGATTTAGTCACTAGACAGTTTTTTAAGAACAAGTACATTAATAGCAGTATGTTGTAGACAAAATTTGAAATCAGGCTTCCTACCCTGTAATATATATAGTGATTAAAAGTCACAAACAAACTTGGAATGATTACTTTTGATATATTGCCTAAGAGGATACGATACCATTACAAGATTTCTGACCTGCAGACTTCTGAGTCAGAAGGACAACTGCAATGAAATTGCATTCTACCACTGCCTGGAAATGAATCTAATGTTTTGTTTTCTATTATAATCACTATAAACTTGGGGCTTAATCATGTGGGCTCTCCCTAGACCACAGATTTGATACTCATTTTTTATGCTTTTTCAGATTCTCTCCCTATTTGGATTGGTTCTGGGAAAAAAAGAGCTAGGCAATTCAGGAAGGAAGGCACCAAAGCCCACTGTATAGATTTGTGCATATAAATAGATCTTATATATCTGTGTGATTTGTCATCCATGAATAATTGGGGGCACTCAAAGTTACAGGCAGAGGAGATCAACCTTTGAAAGTTTGGAGTTTTGTTTCCGAAAATCAATTGTTCTTGAAAAATTAGGTGCCTAAGTGACTATGAGTCATACCATGCCATTACTTCATTCATTATGTTCAAATGCCTGCTGCAGGGGAGATTCAATTCAGAGAAATTTGGGCTAAAAATGAGCAAATCTTTAGGGGAAAAGAGATCTCAATTTGTAAATAATTGTATATAACTTGTACACTATAACTCAAATCTATAGCATATGGAGATTATTAGTTGGTGGAATTTAAAACTATTAGCCTAAATCATAATTGTGGAAAATAATTATTACTAGCTACCTCATGAAAGCACAACTTTGCCTCAAAACTAAAGCTTGTTTTCCTATATGCCTATAGAATTTAGTGTTAGAAGGATCAAACATAGACTTCAACCAGGACTAAAATTAATAAAATGCAATCCTAAACTATATTCTACATGTGGAAAACAATGTTAGATAATGTCAATATTTAACAAATAAAAGCAAAATTGTATATTTCATGAGCTTAATTTGTATTAAAGAGATGTGGCAGGATTATACTGTCAAATAAATAATGTTTATAATGGAAGCCAGGGTAAATCTTGACATCACAGTCACTTTGGAACAGAAAAATCCATTATAGGAGCTATGTTTTAATAGCAATCAAGCACAGAACACTGATTTCAAAGAAAAAAAATGAAAGCATGATGACATTCCCCCTAATGTCTAACTTTTAAAAATAATATCATTATTTCCTTATTATCTCATGTGGTCAAATTTTAAACAGATGCTGCTGAAACAACTGCTGAGGAAACATCACTATGTTTACATTTTCACAAAACCCAATCTAATCCACATAGCCTGCCTCTTTTCCCTATTCAAACTCTTGTGAGGCTGTCTTTTCTCCTTTATTGTGATTTTGAAGATGATTAATGGAGTTCAATTTAACTGGAAAAAGGGAAAGTCTCCCAATACAGTGTAGATAGGTATCGTCTGAACAAAGAACTCAAGAGTAAGAAATCTTTGGTTAACAAGCACCAGAACCAACAAAGACTTCCTTTACAATCTTAGCTTAACCTCCATTTTAATTCTTCTATCTGTCAAATGATAAGAAATCTGATTCTTGCTCAGTATGTTGAAGAAAAATAACTTGTTATGTATAAATGTCATATTTGTACTAAGTATTAGGTTTTTGTATTTGCAAATCTAAGTTAAAAAATTTTGAGGTATTTTTAATTTTATTTATTAAGCACTCAAAGATAAGCAAATTAATTGGGAAAAGCTCTGTTTTGGTTTGTGAAGTGGAGTAAGACTTTATTCTAACAACACTGATGCTGTCACCAACTGGGAGCATGTCCTTGACGTTCATAATGTAAAGGGGAAAGAATTTCAAACTGTACTTACCACATTATCTGTGGATGCTGCATGGTGGTTTTCCTCCTTATGAGCACTTGTTTCATTTGGAACAACTTCACTGGACTCCTCTATAGGAAAAAAGAGATTGTTTCATTTTTCATACCTCAAAACTTTATGGAGAGTGTTTTTTCAAGATTGCTTAAGTAATTTCTCTACTGCAAAAAGATACAAAAGGCATTACACATGCTTTGTTGAGCAATTCTACTTTCAACCAATATAGTCTAAGGAAGTAAGAGTGGATTGGTATAAATACAGGAATGATCATCACTGTACTATCTATAATTTAAAAAAATGGAAGAAGCCTGTATCTTTTTTATTGCTTAATTATTTACTTTTATTTTGAAAGTACCATAAAACTAATTGTGTTGGTGGATTTCATTGTGATATTTATATACATTCATATAATATACTTTGATCAAATTCACCCCATCTGCATTACTCTTTCTTAGCCTTCCTTTCTCCCTTCCCCCTTTTAAACACTTTTTGGTGGGAGAAACCTGTATCTTTAAAGAAGGTAGAGAAATCATTTAGTACAGACCCTAAAATAAATACTAAGAAACTACTAAAAGCAAGGAAAATATTCATGTTCTACTGGAAAGTGAAAAAAATGAAGATGACAAAACCTACTAGTACAAACTCAATTTTGTAAAAGAAAATACGTACATTTTCATCGAGGAAAAAAGAGTGAAATTATTGCAACAAAAATATTGCCACTGGCTCCTCTGCATAGAATTATAGGTAATTTTAATTTTTATTTGTATTTAAATATTTTCTTTTTAATGCGTTTAAGTATTTTATAATGACATTGTATTGTTCAATGTAATAAGAAAAATGATGAAATAATTTTCTAGTACATGATATAAAACTGTAAATGCAAGAGATTTCTAATTTTGCAAAAAGGCAGGAATATTTGAATGCATATACACACACACACACAAACACATGCCTGTATATATGTAAAGAGAAAATACTGGCAAAACATTCCCTCACTCCTGTTTTCAGAAGGGCTATCATGAAGAGTAGGGTTATTTCCAATTTTTATTGAACTTCCCAGTATTTTCTATAGTGAAAACATATTTTTTTCCTTATCAAATCCAATATTTTAAAACAGAAAGATACAAAATTAGGGGAGAAATTAACTGAAAGAAAGCAGTTTAATAAAAAGCTCTCCATGCTGAGCTATGGGAAGTAGCTGATTCAAGGCATTCAGTGTCTGCATATATTATCCCTTGTGTTTTAGATTTTTTTCATCCCCTAGGCTTTAGAAAAACAAGGTAGCAAGATTTCTCTCTCTCTTTTTTTCTGCATGGCAATGTTATGGAGATGTTTTGAATAAATACTACTATAACTGACATTTTATTCACCTTAGAAAGCAGAACAAAAATATTTATCAGCTCTTCTAAGAATTTTCTGAGTCTATTTCTTCCTATGCAAAGACATATGAGTGCCTTGTATGAGCATGGGGGCTGATAAGAGGAAAACAGGGCTGATCCAGGAACGTATTTATGAGAATTCAAATACCCAGGAAAACTTCAGCAGTCTTAATGAAAAGTTCTTTACAATTTTAAGTTAAATTTTCTTGACTCCACTAGATTTTTAAAAAATAAATTGTATTGTGTATATTTATGATATATAACATGATTTTATAATAAACACATACAGATAGTAAAATGGCTATTATAGTGAAACAAATTAACATACCTATCAACTCACATACTTACGCATATGCCAGACAACAGAATTTATTATCATTTCATAAAAATCCTGAATAATTATCCTATCATTAACTATAGTTCCATGTTCTAATTATATCTTTCTATTTATTCATCCTACATATTTGCTACTTTGTATTCTTTGACATACATATCCCCATTCTCCCCATCTCCCAACTCTGGCAACCACAGTTTTATTCTCTATATATCAGTCCTTTTTCCCCATGACATTTGTTACAACATGAATATACCTGGAGGATGCTATATTGAGTGAAATAAATCAGACAGAAAGAAAATAAAAACATTGCATGATCTCATTTATCTGTGGAATGTAAAAAAAAAGGCCAATTTAAAAATTTTAAAAAACAATAGTTCCTAAACAAAGGAATTTTTAACCCATTCATTATATAAACATTTCAAAGCACAGACATGTCAAGTCCTACATAATCAGCAACTAAATGAAATGAAAGGAGAGAAAAATGTCATCAGCTTTAGCTTCAGAGCTGGTATTAGCACTGGGCCTTCGAAGAGGGGTTATATTGTTCAACAACAAAATCATTACTGGTATTATTCCTATGGGTTTGCCTTATATTCCTTGTTCTCTCTTACTCATAACATTGTACACAGTTCTGCTTTATTGGCAACATATTTATGCATTGTATGATTATTTTAGATGATTTAAATAGAAAGCTTTTTTGAGGATTGTAAAATAAGGTACAAAGTGATAAACTGAATGAGGAATGTTTTCTTTTGCTTATATATAGTTTCAACATTAGTGAGAGTTTGAAAGTTAAACACTGTCAATGTGTCTAGTAATTCTTCAAGAAAATAAGGTTTGCTAATTGGAAAACAAATAAGAATCATTAATCTGTTAAAACTCTAGAGGGCACTCTGCATGGTGGCTACCCACTCACACAAAGTAAGTATGCAGAATTATCTTTCATTTGCACAACCACATAATAGGTATAGCTGAAAAAGAGGCATTCTGTAAATTTTAATGTTATAGATATTAAGGTTCCCATACTTTAAACAATTTATTTCCAGGATAATAAAGTCTTTATTGCTCAACCATAAATATATTTTGGGAGATAATAGAACTTGAAATTAAGGAGCTCAGATATTCAAGCATTATTTTTGCTGAAGTTTGCAGTTGTGGTAGGAGTGAACACATGTAGCTCAAAAAAAAATTCAATCCTAACCACACTCCTTTCTCTTAACAGGGAAAGGGAAAGGAAATGGGACAGAGGAAGGTTGGAGGTGGAAGGTGGAAGCTAAAGATAATTCAGAAGCTCTCTCTTAGGAAAGTAGGTTTTTTTTTCAAAAACAAAGGAATGGATATGAAACTGCTGAAACATCACCAGCAATTTTGTTGATATGGCTTTCATTGCAATTTAAAAATAATGCTTATTTTATCTTGAACAGATTTTCAGAGAAAAAATTTATGTGATTTTCGTTTGATTTTTAACATGCAGTACATAAGCCCTGCTTTAAAAATATTTTTCCTTCTTAGACATTTAGAAGACTCTACTATTAAATTAACAATGTGTTATAAGTATGCAAATTTCAGTTGTTAGGTTTTTGAAATAGTATAATCCTGCTACTCTGACAATTCTGTCTCTATCTCTAAGATGTAATTAATGGAAATCTCAAAGTAGGCATACATCTTACCACATTTTCACAAATTGGAAGAGAATATGGTCAGAATGTTTTAAAGATATTATATTAGTCTAATCCAGATGAGGTCACTAACTTAATCACTACAAAAAGATCACACAGTTAAATCGATCAGATTAGTATTCTCCATCAGCAAAATGAGGAAAAGGATAGGACAGAACTGATAGAAACTACACAGAAAAAGAGGCTCTTTTCACTGTTTGAAAATGCTTTTCTGTTGCAATTTCTGATGAGAATGAAAAGGTTACCATGCAGCTGTGAAAAATAAGCTGCTGCCAGAGCAGCAGAGAAATTCTACACTTCTCATCAAGTGTTTTTTGATTCATTCTTTAAATTCTCTCTCTCCTTTTCCTCATTAGGTCTTGATTACTATGCCAGCTGTCTAGAGAACATGTTATTATATGACAAAGGATGCCAGTGCAGGAACAGTGGTTTATTAAAAGTGGACCATTAAAGTGGACTTTAAAATTAACTTTCATTTTTTTCATTAACTAGTTATTTTCAAAAATTCTCTTTTAGGTGGGGAAGTGGCAATTGGGGACTGAAACTCCATTTAGGTGCTTTCCTTTTTCAGAATATTTCCTCACAGATCTCCTGCCCGCTCACAGAAACACACAAATCCCTACTTCCTTACCCACTCCCCAACTAGCTGCCAGTCATGGTGCTGTAAAGATCCTGTCATGAATTACTAGGAATTTCCAAGTATCTCCAGGCACATACAATTTAGTAAAGACTAACAGAAAACAAAAATATGTTTAATGGACTAGCTATATTAAAGATAATGGGGTTGGAGATGATGAAATGCTTTTTTTCTTGATGATTAAAAAATTTTCCTTACAGTTTTCTTGTACACTAAATGTTATCATCTGCATCAATAATGGGATGGAGGAGGGAGCAAGGGAGAGGGAGAGGGAGGGGGAGAAAGTGAGAGTTGAATGCTGACATTGATAACATTTCAAACACCTGGCCTTAAAATACATTGTCCTCTCAATTGTGGCAACATTTTCTTTCCCTTGCATTACTGAATCTACTGCAATATGCTTGCTTCCCAGTGGGGCTTGCAATTAATTGCTTTTTCAAAGAACTCTTAAATACCAGATTCAATGACTGTTCCATTCTACTCAATTTCTATGAGATCATTGAGGTAATGACTCCTTTCTGAAATCTTCCTCTTTCCTTGGTTTTAGCTATAGCATACTATGATGTGCCATCATCTAAAACTCAATATGTGTGAAATTGAATTAATCTTCCTATAATAGCTTATCCATTTAATGTGGTGCCAATAAAAATCTTGAATGGATTTTGAGGAAGAAACTGTGAAAAGACAGAGCTAAACAATTAGAAAATTCATCTAGAAGAGACAATATACTATAAGATCTAAGAGTAACAAGGTATTAAGACATTTTATAAAGCCACAGTTGTAAGCAAACCCATGTAACATAATAAGAAGTCCAGAATTTTACCCATGTGTATATCTCTGCATGTGTGTATGTATATACATGTATATACAACTATATATGATTATATATTTGATTTTAAAAAGCTATACTTAAGCTTACTGTAAAAATGAATGATTCAAAAAATAGTGTAAGGACAATTGCTTAGCTACTTGGAAAAAATAAAAGGGATTTTTTTCACACAACTGAAGGCAAAATAAATTCTAGGTGAAATAAACACAAAATTGCAAAAATAAAACCATAAGGACACCAGAAGCAAATATAGGGGTATATTTTCACAGTGGCAATACAGGGAAGACTGTTATTAGGACACCAAAGTCAGAAACCATAAAAGAAAGCATTGGTAAATCTGATGACATAAAATCATAAACAAAAATTTTGACATCTGAAAACCTTATAAACAAAATTAAAAGACAAACCAGGAGCTGGTAGCTCACTCCTGTAATCCTAGCTACTTGAGAGGATGAGATCAGGAGGATTGCAAATTTGAAGCCAGCCCAGGAAAATAGTTTGTGAGACCCCATCTCAACCAATAGTTGGGCATGGTGGCATTCACCTGTCATCTCAGCTTTGCAAGACCCCCTCCCAACAGAAGAAAAGCTGGGTGTAGTGGTGCACATCTGTTATTCCAGCTACTGCAGGAAACATAAAATAGGCCAGCCTGGGCAAAAAGCAAGACCCTATCTCAAAAATAACTAGGGCAAAAAGGACTGGAGGTATGGCTCAAGCTGCAAAGTACCTGCCTACCAAGCACAAAGCCTTGAATTCAAACCCCAGTACTGCCAAAAAAATTTTTTTAAACGCAAATAATAAAACTGGAAAAAATGTGTCAATAGAATGAATAGGGCTCAATGATTTTTTTTGCTGGTACTGGAGTTTGAATTCAGGGCCTCATGCTTGCTAGGCAGGTGCTCTACCACTTGAGCCACAACATCAGCCAAGGACTCAATGAAACAAAAACAAACAAAATGGTGAACATGATTCTTTTTCTGCTTCTTGATCACATATACAAAAATGTATATATAATGAATGATTACATTTGTATAAAATATGCAGAAATACATATATATACATATATATTGTACAGTCAGAAAGCAGATTAGTGGTTGCCTGGAGCTCGTGGCATTGACTACAAATGAGCTCAAGAGAGTCTTTTGGAGTGATGACAAAGATTGCAAATGAGATTTTAGCAATGCATAACTATAAAATTTACTAGAAATTGAATTCTACATTTATAGTGATGAATTTTATTATGTATAAATTAACCACTAATAAAAATGTTAGTAAAATGGCATCAGAACTCTTCATATGCTTGAAATTAAATGAAATATACTTATGGACAAGAGGTATAATTCCACAATGTTATCTGCAATCTCATTTAGGGAAATATTGAGAGAGATTATAAAGATGATCCAGTCTAGTTTCCTTTTCCAAGTGTTAAAACTAAAGCCAAAGAGTTAAATGCTTTGCCTGAAGTCACATAATCAGGTGGTGGAAAAGTTATGACTTGCACCTAGTTTGCTGGACTACAAACCTGTTGTTCATCACTTTATAGCATTACAGTGTCTTTATAATGCTCAAACCTAAATTGACCAACATTCCAAAAAATCATTTATATTATTATAATGCATGAACTGATATAATAACCAGTATCTGTAAGTGTGAGAGATCATTATTGTGGTAGATGAATGTTCCTTGTGATGTGGGTGACTGTTTAGATGGAAACATTAAAAATAAATCGGTTTATTTTCAAATACTCAGTCAAATGCTTTGAAAACTGTAGATTTGAAGTGCAGTGAGCTGAAAAGCAAGTAAAAAATGCATCAGTTTATAAAGAATATTTACTAAGGGTTGCAGCATATAAAGTACCTTGAGAGCTTCCTTCAGACAAACAGATGGATACTTCATCATTTCTGTCATTATCCTCTCCTACTTCAGGCCCAGCTTCCTCTCCTGGTGTGAGTGCAGACAAAGAGCCAGACTCTGGCTGCTCAGAGAAGTCAGCAGGGCCTCCTCTTGGAGGTGGAACTTCTATCCCCATTAAACGATATTTCCTTCTTCGATTCCCAATCCAAGTCTTTGTAAGAGAAATACAAGAGAAAGTTTGGTAAACTTAAAAGTTCTATCCACTAAAATAATGAATGGTTGCAGCATAAAATGTGATTAGAAAGAATAAATAGTTACACAGAATAAAGAAATTTTATGGTGATAAGCTAAAATAAAAGCAATTATATTTTTATTTTAAAATAGTTTATTAGCAAAAAGATGATATTTATCTAAATATTCACACTTTCAAACAAGATGCAGTCTATTACGATTGCTCTTGTTTCTATTTTTATTTTGTTTCTGAGGATAACAATTCACTAAATCTTTCAATTCAAAAAATAAATTGGTTCTTTTCCCAAAAGAAACCAGGCATACAGCTATAACTATAGTTCACATACTCATATCCCATAATTTCATTTTATTTGAGAACCAAGTTTATCTTTTTTACAGTACTGAAGATTGAACTTGAGCTACACACTCAGTCCTTTTTTTTTGCCCTCATCTAGGATCTCCTGCTAACTTTGCCCAGGCTAACCTAGAACCAGCCTCCTATCTCCACCTCCCAAGTAGTGGCATGAGCCACTGTGCCCAGCCTTAGCACAAATTTGTTTGGTGGTTGGACTGGGATTTTAATTCAGGATTCTGTGCTTGCTAGGCAGGCACTCAACCAGTTGAGATGTTTTTGCTTTGGTTATTTTTCAGGTAGGGTCTTTTGTTTTTGCCTGGGGCTAGCCTCAGACTGCAGTCCTCCCACTTATGCCTCCCATGGGATCAAAGGAGCTTGACACCATACCCAGCTTATTGATTGAGATGGGGGTCTTGAAAGCTTTTTTCCACATTGGGCTGGAACTGTGATCCTCCTAATTTTTGCTTCTTGAATAGCTAGGATAACAAATATCAGTCACCATGCTCACCCCAGAACTAATTAAAAAATTTCTTTTCAGTGCTAAAGATAGAACTGAAGGCCTCACCTATGCTAGTAAAGTGCTCTATACAAAGATACATTCCTACCCTAAAACTTTTTATATTTAAATGAGTCACAGAAAATTTCAAAGACAGGTTTTATGTGTTCTTCACTGTTTCCTCCAACTTACATCCTACAAAATTATGGCATGATGTATTGTTTTTAGTTTTTGGCTATTACATATAAAGCTATTATGAATAGTTTTTTGTGAAGACATCAGTTTCAATTTCTATAGAATAAATCCATAAGAATGCAATTTCTGGGTCATATGATTACATACCAAGTTTTATAAGAATCTTCCAAATTGTTTTCCAGCGGAATTGTGCCATTTTGCAGCCCTATCAACAATGTATGAGAGATCTAGTTTATCAACATTCTTGCCAGTATTTAGTATTATCAGTAATTTTTTTCTTGTAGTACTAGAGATTAGGTGCAGGGCCTCATGCATATTAGGTAGGTAGTTGAGCCACACCTCCGACCCAGAAGTAATATTTTTTTGTAGTGCTGGGTATTAAACCCAGAGCCTTGCACATGCTAGGAAAGCATTGTACCACTAAGATTCATAGTTTTTAATTTGTTTTTTTTTCTAGTAACTAGTGATGTTGAATATCTTTCCATGTGCTTATTTGCCATTCATATATCCTCTTCAGTGAAATGTCTCTTCATTTAAAAAAAAAGCTTCAGTTTTTTCGCATATGTTTACCTGAAGCATTTCCACTACCTAGAATATTTCCTCATGCTTCTCTTCAGGTAGTAAGTGATTCCTAAGGAAAATCACCATTCTGATTCCTACCATCAAAGTCTATTTTTTCCAGTTTTATACTTAACATACATTATAATGTCATCAGTATTCAAGTGTATCTCACTTTTGATACTATGTCTATGTTATTTATTTATAAAACTGTGTTATAACTTTACATTTGTTTTTTGTCATGAAATCCCACTGTATGAATATATACCAATTCAACTATTTTATCTATAAACAATATTGAGTTGATTCACATATTTTTCTATCAAGAAAAAGTTATCCAGGAATTACTATATCTACAACCTACAATATTCATGCATTCATTTTCTTAGCCATTGAATTTAAAATGTTTTCTTATTCCTTTCTGGATTTCTTCCTTCATCTATAGGTTGTATAGATTATTTTTCCTCAATTTCCAAACATTTGGATGTTTTCTAGTTAGCTTTACAATGTTGGATTCCATTTTTTTGGCAACAAAAACTTTTGCTTAAAAATATATTTGAAAGTATTTTATAAAGCAAACAAACAGAAAATATCAGTTAAATGAAAATATCTATTTACAGTGTGAACTATAGTGGTACATTTCCTGAAATCTCAACACTTGGGAGGATGGAGCAAGAGGATGCCGAATTCAAGGTCAGCCTAAACTACAAAGTAACATCTTGCCTCAAAAAACAAGCAAACAAATATATGTATTTACAAACAAATAAGTATAGCTATTTATAGACAATAAACAAGAAAAAAGGAACAGTGTGCTTTAACAGTAAAAATGTATTGTTGCTAATTATAAGAAGTTCAACAAACACAAAGATATCAGATTATCTGTTATAAATGATATTTTTTTGTGCAATACTCAGGGCCTTGCACTTGCTGGGCCATGCTTCAGTCTTTCTTACCTTTAGTTTGTCTTTCAGGTAAGGTCTTGCACTAACTTTACTGGGGCTGGCCTCTAACTGTTATCCTCCAACCCATGCCTCCCTTGTAGCTGGGATTACAAGCATGTACCAAACCATACATAACTTGTTTTTGAGATAAAGTCTTACTAACTGCATGGGCTGGCTTCTAACCACAGTCTTCCTATCTCCACCTCACAAATAGCTGGGGTTACAGATATGAACCACCAAGCCTGGCCAGAAATTTTTTATTATTGTGCTGGGTAGGGGTACATTGCGGCATTTGCAAAAGTTCTTACAACATATCAATATACCATAGTTGAATTCATCTCCTCCATCATTCTCTTTTAATTCCCATTTCCCTATTCCTGGAATTGTTTCAATAGATCTCATTTTTCCATATACATACATGTGTATACAATATTTGCACTATATTCACCCTTAATTAAACACACAAGATAGTGTATTTTGAGAGTGGTTTATATGTTCTATAAATGAATGCTTTGTTACATATGTAGTTAGCAAACATTTTATCTCAGTCTGAAGCTTGAGTTTTATCCTCTTCATGTTCTGCAGAATAAACCTAAAGTTGCTTAAAATATACTACTTATCAAACAACAAAAAGTGGTCTCCTTGAATGATCAGTGAAATTGACAAATATCTAGCAAGACTGACAATGAATAAAAGAGGGAGGACACAGGTTATCATATCAGAAATGAACTAGAGCATTTCACTACAGACTTTGCACACATGAAAGATTTATGTGAAGTGGATCAATTCCTTGAAAAGTGAAAATTACCATGATATAAAGGATTATTTGAATAGTCCTATAACTGTTAAGAAAATTTAATTCATCATTTAAAGACTGCCCCTCAAAACAACATCTAGACCCCTAAATACCATGTTTAATTGTAAAAAATTATAGACTGTGTTCCAAAACATGAGTGAAACAACATATTCAACATAGAAATGGAGATTTTGATTCATACAACAATTTAATAAAAGAATAGATATACAGATCAGAAAAGAAGAAATAATGGCTCTCCTATTTATAGATTATATGATAGTCTATGCAGAAAATCTTAAGGACACTCCTACAACTAATAAGAAGTGAATTCAACATGTTCTCAGAATAAAAGATCACATATAAAAATCAATTGTGTTTCTGTGTGGTAAAAAATTAACACATCGAAATTGAGGTTAAAAACATAGTACTATGCTTAGGTGTAAATGTAAGAAAACACATACAGGACATGCCCACTAAAGAAATAAAAATTGTTCTAAACAAATAGGCAGACACACTATGTTCATGGACTAGAAGACTCAACATACTAAAGATAGAAATTCTTCCCAAGTTGATAATGTTGGATTAACAAAATTCCTTTTAAAATCCAATCAAAATTTTTGTAGATATATGATTATAAGGAGTGAATTCAACTATGATATATTGCAAAAACTTTTAAAATGTCACAATGTACCCCCAGTACAACAATGTGATAATAAAAAATCACCGTACTAACAGCATTGGTACAAATTTTCATTTATTTCTTCAGTAAAGTTTCTATACCTATTTCATTCTCTAACATTTTTTTCTCTCTTCTATCTCCTGTATCCCCCTCAGACAGACTCACTAATGAAATTTTGTTCTGTCACTATATACACTAAATATATGTATATGTACATTCCCATATGTTTCTCTCTATATATTTAACTTGTAGGTCTAACTTCCACATATAAGAGAAAATGTGCAACCTTTGATTTTTTGAGCTTGGCTAACTTCGCTTAACATGAAGTTCTCCAGTTAAAAAATATGAGGAAAAGAAGATAATTATAAAATTCATATGGAAAGGAAATGAATTAATATAACTAAAATATTTGGAAAATGAAGTGGAAGGAATCCACATACCCAGTTTGAAGACTTATTTGACTGATAGAATGGAACAGAAAACTCAGATACAGCCCCACACAAGTATGAACAGTTTAGCTGACTTTTGAGAAAGGTGCAAATTCTATTAATGTTAGTTATGGGTATTCTTTTCAAGAAATGATTCTGGAGCAATTGGTTATCCATAGGAAAATAGACATGGACTTCAATCTAAATCTATCATTTTATACAAAGATGAAATCAAAATGGATGATAGGTTTAAATTTAAACCCTAAACTTGTGTATGATACCCCTTCTTTGTATATTAACTAGAATTCATTCTGTACAATAAGGCTTTCTTAGATATTTTCTAATGTAAATAAAAACATGAATTAAATTAACATAATTCTTTGTTGAATTTTCTTTTAAATGCATGCTGGGAAAAATAGAAGAATTATTCAGTTAGTTCAAGAAGACCAATGTTATTTATATTTGTTGGGGAACATTTTATCTCTAGATTGAAGAAACATAGTAACTTGTATGTATTTAGCATTAAATAGTAAATGTCAAGTCTGAAACACATGTATTGTTTTGTAGACTCCCAAGTGAAAGTTACCTAATAGGTATTAATTTTACTAACTTCCTCCACAGGAAGAATACTAGTTTAAAAAGTAGAGTTCCATTTCAATTTCCCATTGTCTCATTGAAAACAGACTGGACCCCAGGAAAAGCAGAAGTGAAGCATGTGTTTTTAAAAAGATTCTGTACATGCTTTATTTTTTTTGCAATATGACAGTGTCAATGAGGCCCAAGTGCAGAAAGCAACTGTCATAGAACAAGGTGCTTATTATTTACCAGTGACAGATTAAATACAAAATTTAAAAAATGAAAAACTCAGTAGAAAAGTTAGAACATAAATTTGAGGATATCTTAGTGAAGGTAGAGCAAAGAAACAACCAGATTAAAAATGGAAATGTCAAAGAAACTGTTCTATTCCAGGTGCAGAAAACAATCAATTCAGATTTGAAACAAAGTAGATTACAGGAAATATATGCTCAAGATGATGAAACTGGTTACTAACAAATGTGCATGAATGCATATATATATATATATATATATATATATATAATATGTATATACACACATATATACATACTGAGGATAAATTAATAGTAAGTATACAGAAAACTAAATAAGCAAACATACAAATATTAAAAATAAAAATAAGTAAATTATGATTTCTAGGGAACAAAATAATGTTATGAAGAGAAGGAAAAAATTGATATTGCATTACATAATTCAAAGATGTATAGCACTTACATAGTCATAATGTTAATATTAAATATCACATTAATGAAAATTAAAGAAGGATATATATGTATATTATTCCATTGTGTATGTGTTTGTGTGTAGCATTACTCAGCTGCAAAGAAGAATGAAATTATGTCATTTGTATGAAAATAGATGGAATTGGAAATCATGTTAAGCCTGAGTCAGAAAGACAAATATCACATGTTCTCTCTCATATACAGAATCTAGACCTAAAAAAAAATGACAGCAGAGTAAAACAGAGGGACTGTTTGACAGTGGTAACCAGCAGGAAGGGAAGGATGAAAGGAGAAGGTGAAGCGACGGGTGAAAATGATCAAAATACTTCATACACATATACAAAAATAGTACGATGAAGCCCGTTAAACTTGTTTAAAAAGTGGGGAGGAGGATAAGAGAGCAATAGAGGCATTGAGTTTGATCAAAATATATTATGTATATGTTGTAAAAATCTCACAAAGAAACCCCCTTGTACAATTAATATGCACTAATTTAAAAAAGGGAAAAAGTACTCTTGCATGTGCAAATATTAGTACCAACTACACATTTGAATGTTTGAAGTCCATTTTCAAAACAAATGAAGGTTAAAGAGAGAGGAAGTATGCATGTAAATGAAAGCATCAATGAAGCAATCTTGAAGGATTTTACAAGAATTTTCATTGTATAGTGAAAATTCAATATACCATGCCTAACATTGAAAAAAATCAAGAAGTAGCAATATAAACACATATGAGAGGGACAACTGGCTGTTCTCCATATTTGTTCTCATGTTCTTCCAGAGTAATAGCAGGTATAGCTGGTGACATGGTTGCCTACAGCCATAACAATATGTTTAGCCAAGTGAAACTGAAAGTGTCTTGTGGCAGTATATATGACTTTCCTTTAAAAGATAGCTGGTATACACACTTTGATCCTTCTTTCTCCTCTCTTTTTTACTGTTTGAACTACATATGCCATCATTTTGGATCTTGAAGACAAGGGCTACATCATGGAGTGGCAGAATAGATGGAAGGCACCAGGGTCTCTGAGGACTTCATGGAGCATAACTGCCATGCTAGCTGTAGACAACATATCACAAGGAAATAAATGTGTTGTTTAAGCCACTGTTACTTTGAGTCTTTCTATAACTCACAGATAAGCTAGTTCTGATTAACACAGCATATCATTCATAGATGGAAGTTAATATCTAAAGAGTCATCTAATGTAAGAGGGGAGGAGTCAGGAATGTTTATTTTAAAGCAAGTTCTACAGAACCTGACTCCTCAAACTATGTACATGTATACATTAATTTTAAAACATAAAAATGGCAATGACAACAAAAACATATGCTCTACATTTCTCTATACTTAGCTTTTGCTTAGGTTCTGATACTATGATGTTGCTCCAGTTCCTCTTCAGTCACTTATATTCTTGTGACAACCTCTTACTCAGATCTAAGCTCCTTAAGATAGGAAGTGTCTAATACATTTCTCTATCCTTGTTAGTATACACTAACATATAGCAACACACTTAGTAAACAGATGATTGAAATTGATTTTCCATCTGCATCTTAACAAGAAAAGGCAAGGCTCTGAATAGGACAGTACCTATTTTTAGAATGTATTTATTTTGAGAAATCTGTGCTCCACATCTCCTTATATTGCTTTTTCTTCATATGTGTATGAGAAAATATTATTTCATCTAGAAAAGCTTTGTGTTTCATCACTTGTTCTTTAATAGTACTTCCCTCTTGATCCTCAGGAATGATCTTCAGTGCATACTGAAGCCAACTCACACTTGTTCACAAGAGCAAATTGTTAAGATCTCTAACCAACTCAGTGTTGAATGAGACATATAATCAGCAGTGGTGGAAATCAGTAAATGGTAAAATCAGGGCTTTTTTCCCTTAAAGAGCTGATTGTTAAGTACTTACTAACACTACACCTATATAAACCTTATATCAACATCTTTCAAATGGAATACAAATTGCTGTTCCCACAACTGATCAATGTGATTTTTTAACCTATCATTCATTACATGAATATGTAATATAATTTTAAGTGGCATTAGAATTATATTTTTAAAAGTATACACTCATTTAATGTTTACACTTAAAATATTTTCAATATATTCACAGAAGTGTGCAACAATCATGGCTAATTCCAGAGTACTTATAACATGCCAAAAAGAAACCCCCTGGACCCGTTAATAGCCATTTTTCATTCTGTCTTACCCCAAGCTCTTGGCAGCCACTAATCTACTTCTGTCTCTATAGTGTGCTTATTGTGCATGTCTTATACAAATTGAATCACACAATATGTATCTTTCATAAGTAACTTTTTCCCTTTGCACAATGTTTTCAAGACTTATCCATACATCAATATTTAATTCTTTTATATGGATTTATAATATTTTGTTATATGCATAGACCACATTTTGTTTATCCACTCTCTTGGTAGACTTTTGGATTGTTTCCACTTTTGGGCTACTATGGATAATGCTTTTATGAATATCTGCATGTAAGTTTTTTGGTGGACATATGCTTTCCATTATTTGAACATATATCTAGAAGTGCAATTATTGAGTCAATAAGATGTTAAACTTTTTGACGACTATTTTCCAAAGTGACTAAAATGTTTGACATTCTCACCAGCAAGGTATAAAGGCTCCAGTTTTTGTTATCTGTCTTTTTAATTAGAGGCACCATATTGGGTTTAGTTAAGTAATATCTCATTGTGGTTTTGATTTCCAATTCCATAATGGCTTGTGATGTTAAACATCTTTTCATCATCATTTTTATACTTCAGAGATATGCCTATACAGATCCTTTGCCTATTTTTAGATCACTTTGTCTTTTCATTATTGAGTTCTAAGTGTTCTTTACATACTTTGAATACAAATTCCTTTTCAGATACATAATTTGAAAAACTATCCCTCACCCTATGGGTCTTTTCACTGTATTTATGGTATTGTTTGCAATACCTTATGCAGTTTTAAAAATGCTTTCATTTATGCTACTCAACAACTACAGCATGAAAATTATTAAAAATACCTTACCCGAACTATTTCACAGTCAACATTTAGTTCAATTGCAACAGCTTCAATCTTCTCTCTGCAAACAGAGCCCAGGCTAGTCATGCCATTGTCCCAGTACTTCTTAAGGGTGGCTAAGTCTCGGTCACTGAATTGAGTGCGGTCCTGCAGCTGAAAAGTACATTTCAAAAAATTATAATAATCAAGGGAAGAAATGTTATATAGTGGATCATCAGGGTGAGATGTACTAAGTTGTGTTCAACACATAATAACAGATAAAAATATTTCACAATTCTTACTCTGTTCCATAATTCTGAATATATGCATTTTCATTTTTTTTCTATCTGTAACAAAATACAGTGTTCCAGGATGAAATGAGCAGAATTTTTCACTGACAGCAATACAAAAATGCTCATTTTAAATGGCCTTAATTGCACAAATAATACACATTCATTGTGGAAAATGTGGATAAATAGAATTTATATTAGCTACAACTTGGGAACATTCACATTCATACACACAGTTAAAACTCAAAGACAGGATTACATCAGTGTGTTGCTTTTGATGCTAATAATATTTTCCATATAAACTCAGATATTAGTCTCCTAATAATGTTATGATCAATTCAAAACATATATAAGTGAAATGTAAGAGGATAGTGCAGTTCTAAGAAACTGTCATGTTTATGGTTTCAGAAAGTTTCATAGTAATCCTAACCCTTTTGTTCTTAGGCATTAAAGAAATCCAGTAAACTATAAGCTTACCACATTGTTTAATTCAATGAATCCTGAAGGAATTCTAGGAAGTAAATTAGAAACATGATAGAATAATGACCTTCATTTTGCTGAAAAGACATCAGGAAAAAAAAGGTCAAAGGACTCATTCAATAGGGCACAGAGAGTCCAAGCCAGAGCTAGAAATAGAAATATTTCTAATTTTTATAGAGGCTTTATCCCTATGATAGCTCCAATTAACTCAAGGGGTGGTAAAAAACCTAAAAATGACCTTCAATTGAAAGTATATATCCAGGCCTTTCCTCTCCATTTTACTCTACTACATGGTGAGGAGATTCCAAGATGGCGACTAAAGGCAGGAAGCAGAAAGCGTGCTTCCTAAAGTAAAATCTTGGAGAGATGCTGGAGATACACATTGCAGGAAAAACCACCAAGAAGAGGTTAAAGTCTGACACTGCCACACCCCCAGCCCATGCATAGCATCCCTACTCCATGGTAAACTGGGAAACCAGGAGGGCTCCCGCACCGCAAGATGCCAGCTCCTACCAGCTCAAAAGAGGTAGACTACCAGGTGAGCTAAGCGGCATGGGGTACTCCCACAAACAACCCTGGGCCAGGTCAGCGTAGCCCCCTGGACAGACTGACCCCCACCCAGGGAAAAAACAGAAAAAAAAACTGAATAAACAACAACAACAACAACAAGACATGTACCAAAGAGGGAGGGGGTGCCAAGAGCTCTGAAGAGTGGGGGAGAGGCAATCCCTCACAGAACTATAAATAAACAAGCTGGCCTGAGGAGGCAGGAGTGGCAGCTCCGCCCTGAAACCTTGGACCTGGAAAGATTGTAACAGTGTCGTGAGGAGGGTTCCACTGGAGAGCTGGGAAGGGGCACTTCCCAGGTGATCTGTAAATAAACAAGCCAATCAGAGAAGGCGGGTGTAGCGCCACCTCCCCCAGTGTGCTTGCAGAAGGGAAGGCTTGTAACAGTGGCCATTGCACCCAGGAGAACTCTAAATAAACAAAGCCTGTGGGGCTAGGTGAGTGTTAAGCTCATTCCTGAGATCTGCAATCAATAAAGCCTCCAGCAACAGCTGGCTGACAACAGTGGGCATGTGAGCCGCAGCCTCAGATAGACATTCACAAAGCTGTCTCCAGACTCTTTTTTTTCTTTTTTTCTCTTCCTTTGATGAGACAATGACATAACTCCAATTGGAAGCTGAAGGATTCAAATTCCATTTGAATTTGGGATTTTTGTTTAGTTTTGGGGGTTTTTTTGTTTGTTTTTTCTGTTTGTCTGTTTTCGTTTTTGTTTTTTTTACCCCATTGATGAGACAATGACTGAACTACTTCTGAGACATTATCTCCAGGATTAGAGGCTGAGTGACTAACACCAAAATTATTAAGACTAAAACTTTATTGCATTTGAACTTGAGGATTTTTTTTAATCCTTTCTCTGTCTTTCTAATGCCTGTTTAGCTTACTGCTGATTAGTACACTTCTCTCCCTGTTTATTTCTTTGGCACTGTTTTTTTTTGTTATTGTTTGTTTATTTGTATGTTTCATTTTCCCTTTTTCTTTACTTTCCCTCTCCTCTCACCATTCCATTCTAGATATCACCATTGTTATTATTACAAGCTAGACAATACTGAATTACACACAGTACAGGGACAGTAACAACAGCAAGGGCAATGATGGGAAGATGAAAAAACAGGGAAACCAGTATCCCCCCTGTAATAAATTAGTGCAGGAACCAAAGAGAAATGTAGAAAACAGATACTCAGATCCAGACTCCAACAAAATGAAGATAAACTATGCCAAAGAACCCGATGAAGCCCACAAGAACTCTCTGAAAGAAGAAATCCTGCAACTAATCAATGAGAATTTTATAGAGATGATACTGGATATGGTCAACTAAAATGTACAGGAAACACTCAAGAAATTCCAAGACAACAAAAATAGAGAATCAGAGAAAGCACAAGAACAAATAAAAGAAACTATAGAAAACACTGTATAAACACCAAAGTGAAACAAAGAACAAGGTAAATAAAGAGATAAGTGAACTCAGGACAAAAATAGACAATACTAAAGAGGAAGGGACTCAGGATATGGAAAACCTCAGAAAAAAGAACAAAACAGAAAGTGAGGTTAGCCTGGCCCAAAAGACCAAAAATTGTATGTTCTCCCTCATATGTGGACATTAGATCAAGGGCAAACACAACAATGGGATTGGACTTTGAGCACACGATAAAAGCGAGAGCACACAAGGGAGGGGTGAGGATAGGTAAGACACCTAAAAAATTAGCTAGCATTTGTTGCCCTTAACGCAGAAAAACTAAAGCAGATACCTTAAAAGCAACTGAGGCCAATAGGAAAAGGGGACTAGGAATTAGAGAAAAGATTAGATCAAAAAGAATTAACCTAGAAGGTAACACACACGCACAGGAAATTAATGTGAGTCAACTCCCTGTATAGCTATCCTTATCTCAACCAGCAAAAACCCTTGTTCCTTCCTATTGTTGCTTATACTCTCTCTACAACAAAATTAGAAATAAGGGCAAAATAGTTTCTGCTGGGTTTTGAGGGGTTGGGGGAGAGGGAGGGGGCAGAGTGGGTGGTAAGGGAGGGGGTGGGGGCAGGGGGGAGAAATGACCCAAGCCTTGCATGCACATATGAATAAAAAAATGCAAAACAAAATGGAAGGCAAACCCAGCAAAACAGAACAAGCAGAAGACAGAATCTCATAACTCAAAGATGAAATGGTAATTAAAGGAAAAACTGAAGAACTATTAGTTAAACAACTCAAGACCTGTGAAAAGAAAATTCAAGAACTCACTGACTCCATCAAAAGACCAAACTAGAGAATCATGGACATTGAAGAAGGAGAAGAGGTGCTAGCAAAGGGAATGTGTAATATATTCAACAAAATAATTACAGAAAATTTCCCAAATCTAGAGAAATCTATGCCCATACAGGTGCAAGAGGCCTCCAGAACACCAAACAGACCTGACCAAAATAGAACTACCCAGCGGCATATTATCATTAAAACAACAAGTACAGAGACTTGAGAAAGAATATTGAAGGCTGTAAGAGAGAAAAATAACATACAAAGGTAAACCCATCAAAATTACAGCAGACTTCTCAACAGAAACATTAAAAGCAAGAGAGCTTTGGGTGAGATCATCAGGGCACTGAATGAAAATAACTTAAACCCCAGGATACTCTACCCAGCAAAACTATCATTCAAAATAGATGGAGTCTTCCATGATAAGCAGAAACTAAAACAATATATGACCACAAAGCCACTACTACAAAAGATTCTTCAAAGCATTCTGTGCACAGAAAGTGAAACCCAACATAACCATGAAAGGGCAGGCAGTACCAAACTACAGGGGGATTGGACTTTGATCACATGATAAAGCAAGTGCACACAAGGGAGGTATGAGGATAGGTAAGAAACCCAAAAAGCTAGATAGCATTTGTTGCCCTCAACACAGAGAAATTAATGCAGATACTTTAAAGTGACAGAGGCCAATAGGAGAAGGGGACCAGGAACTAGAGAAAAGGTTAGTTTGAGAAGAATTCATTTAGAAGGTAACACACATGTACAGGAAAGCAATGCCAGTCAACTCCCTGTATAGCTATCCTTATCTCAACTAGCAAAAACGCTTGGTCCTTCCTATTATTGCTTATACTCTCTCTTCAACAAAATTAGACATAAGGGCAAAATAGTTTCTGCCTGGAAGCAAGGGGGTAGTGGGGAGAGGGAGGGTGTGGGGTGGTTAAGGGAGGGGGCAGGGGGAAGGAGGGAGAAATGACCCAAACATTGTATGTACATATGAATAAAAAAAAGAAAAAGAAACCATAAACCTTCTGTAAAGACAAACAAATAAGCAAATTAATAACAAAAACTCCACAACACTGTAAGCAAATGCAAAAAAAAAAAAGAAAGTATATATCTAAAGTCCTGCATATATACATGTGTGTTTGTGAGGAAAGAAAGGAAACAGAAAGGGGAAGACAGAGGTAGTGGGTTGGATGACAAGGTGGGAATGGGAAGGGGAGACACTGGGGAGAAGAAGAGAGAGACACTGACAAAGAGAGAGATGGAGAGAGGGAGAGAGAGAGAGGAGAGAGAGAGAGAGAGAGAGAGAGAGAGAGAGAGAGAGAGAGAGAGAGAGAGAGACTGAAGAATGAATTAAAGGCAAATCTTCAAATCAAGGCATGAGGTATGATATGCTCTGGTCCCACACAGAGGCTAGACCTCAAATATGTCTTACACATACACTGCTTTTAACATTTCCTTTCTAACTGAGATTTAAAATGAAACACCAGATTCTGGTAACATTGGAACATAATATAAACAACATATAAAGCATGACTTTTGCATAAAAGGTTACCATGATTAAACTGGTGTAATACTAAACTTTGGGCACAATA